AAGAAGAAGGGGGGATAAATAAATGGTCCATTTAAAAAAGAAGAAGAAGAAAGCTTTCCTAGCAGCGATTAATATCCAGGAGACTGCTCTACAAAGTCCAAGTATGGACCACTTCATGCAGTCCTTCCCAGTGGGCAATGGTTCTCTTTCCTTCCCACAGGAACACCGTGGCATGCCCATAACTACATGCACCACTGCCTTCTAGACAAAATGGTGGCTTCCAGATGGCCTTCAAGGACAGCAGATGGCCCCACGTGGAACACATTGCAACGGTCTAATCAAAAGGTGATCCAAGCCATGGATAACTGTGAATGGGGCAGTCTCATCCAGGAGTAGGCACAACTGGCACACAGATTAATTTGTTCAAAGGCCCTCCTGGCTACACTGTCACCTACTCTTCCAGCAGGAACTGAGAGTTCAACAGGACCCTCAAATTGTGCATCAGTTGTGTCTGGGGAAGTACAACTCCATCCAGAACTAAAGATCAAAAATCTCTGGATACAATGAGCCTCAAAACCAACAGACATTTGGTCTTGCTAGACTTAAGTCAAATTCCGTTCTTCCCCATCCAGATCCCCATCAAGACACTAGGAAATAACCTTGGTGCCATTCCCAGGTAACCAAGCCAGACCATGTCTCAGTCAACTCCTCAGTGTCCAGCTCAGAGCAGATTCAATCAACTTTATCTGACACATGCCTAGAATATCTTCACAGTGGTCCTGCAGACGTTCCTCCACATCCTCTCTACCTAGGAGGAACTTAAACAGGGCTGCCAGCTGGCTGTCCATGAATGTGATAAGAGCAGAAAATAATTTTGTTTTGCTACTCTTATCCTTATGAGGTGATCCTTAAAGGATTTTACCTATGCTCAATTGGATTCACTTTTTTGATAGCAATTCAGGGTACAGTTGATTTTCTTGACAAGACTATGGTGCTCACTTTTCTCTAGCATAGTGTGATGGAGAAATAAAGGGAGTGGATGACAATTGTGGACAGGGTTAGGTGGACAAATCAAAAGAAACAACAGCATTTCATTTAGGGCCTACTTTAGGTGGGTTTTTATTACGAGCATGGGCCTCCCAGGAGCAAAATGCTCCCATATCCATCCTCACATCCACCCAAAACCTGGAGAGACAGACCAAAATCAAGCTATCAAAATTTTGTCATTTTACAATGCAGTTTTGGAGATTCTCATTTCCTGGGAGAATGTGAGACACCTTTCCTTCAAGAATGGGAGATAATTAAAGGGTTGGGTTTTTTTTAACTGAATTCAGAGTTGTCATTCACACTTAATATGTTTGGGCCAGAAAATACTTTTGAAAATACTTTTGTACTGCTAAAGCAGAGTAAATACCATCCAGAGTGCAGAATTTGTCACACTGACATAATTTCCGTCTGATAACAACTCCACTCGGAGGGTTGTAATATTTGCAATTGCCTTACCACATTGTTCAGTCTCATCCCACGGAGTGAGTCCTTGCCTGTTTCAGCTTTTACTAAAACAAACGTATCTTGCACCACATTTAGAAAGAAACTGCAGAACAGATTTGCTGACTGATGCTGGAATTTTCGGTCAGAATGAAAAGACTTGTTTGGGATTCAAAATATCCACATATATTTTTGGACAAATCTTATTGTGCATACATTCTCCCAGCATCAGCACACACAATGACAGAACTGGATGGACTCTGGACAAACATGTCCAGACCTACCTACCAGCAATGGGTGGAGACACCCCAATAGTGTGTTCAAAACATAACATGCCTCCCATGTACACAAGCATATTCACAGCCCATTTGTCCTTAAACAGAGTGCAATTAGGCTACACATTAATCTCCACTGATAACAAGAGAGGTAATGTTAAAATCAGATTACAGTTAGGAGTGTGATTTTTCAAGGGAGATTGCAACCCTGGAAGGGTGAAGGTTAGTTCTTTCCCACCAATATCATCACCTGCCACTCAAAATTATCCCTACTAGACAATGAAGCTTTAAAATAGTTTCCACCAAGAACAAGGGAGGAGATTTTAAAGTCTTGCAAGTTGGGCAACAAGCTTGAACCTTGAGAAGCTGCCAACTAGTGACATATTTTATCAAGCCATGGTTTAACTGTAGTTTGTTGAATACACAGTCAGGTACTTCACAGAAAAAAGTCATAAATCGTAAACCATCACGGCCACGTTATCCCCATTGCTGATCCCTATCCTGCAATTGCTGGGATAAGCAATCCTAGATGTTAGGCTTTGAGAGCCTGTGTGGATGGGGTAGGGGTGAAACTGTTGGACTAGGACCAGAGAGACCTGGGTTCAAGTCCCCTCTCAGCTAGGGAAGCTCACTGGGTGACTTTGGGTCATTGGCTCTTTCCCACCCTACCCTATCTTACAAGGTTGTGTTGTGGGGGGAAATTACAGGACACAGTGATATATTTGATGCGTTGAACTCCTGGAGGAATGGCAGGAGGTGCATCTAATCATCAATAAAGTGATTCATGTTGAGGCTGCCCTTGGATGAAGTGGGAATAAGGATATAATAACGGAGAGCCAGTTTGGTGTAATGGTGAAGGTGCTGGACTAGAAGCTACAAGAATTCTAGTCCTATCCTAGGTATGGCAGCCATTAAGATGACTTTGGACCAATCACTCCATCTCAGCTCACTCTGCCCATTCTGTTGGAAAAACAGAAGGTGGGAGCATTACATTCTTACATTGTACAAAATAAAGGTGGGTCATAACTCTAATAATAAAAGGGGGATAATATGACATAACTTTGGTACAGCTAAGGACGACTTAGGGGACGCGGTGGCGCAGCGGCTTAATGACGCTGAAAGTTGCTGGCCAGAAATGGTCA